TGGCCCTTTTGGCTGCGAAGCCACGTCATAAACCCGTCCCGGGAAGTCAAGCTCGCATAGGCAGATTCACCATAGTGGCCAAGCTGCTCCTTGCAGTAGGCCAGGTAGTCCGGCATAGAAGGATGCTCGCCAACCTCAATCCGCAGGTCGCCCTTCAGATCCTGCAACGTTTTCGAGATCTTGCGCTTGGCCTGTCTGGCCTCCTCCTTCTCATCCCTCCGCCGATAGAGCGAGTAAGCCTTCCCGAGCCAGCCTGAACTCACCTGGGAATCAGGCCAGGCTTCTTCTTCCACCTCCTCCTCCTCCTCCGAGCTCGAAGTGGATTGAGGCGATTCATCTCCAGCCTCGCTGTCAGAAACAGGCTCAGCCTTTGGAGACTGCCCTAATACCAAAGTTGGCGCCCGTAGCAAAGATGATTGCGATGATGATGACGATGCATCACCACCATCGCCATTCCGCTCAGCTTCAACAGCGCTTGAGTCAGACTCGTCAGACTTGTTGTCAGGCTCATCTTGCACTGGCTCACAGCTGTCTGCAGAAGAGCTTCCAGAGTCCTCGTCAGGGCTTGAAGCCGCAACAACCTCCTCCATGTCTGGGTCAGCGACAGGGCCATTGTCTTCAGGCGCTCTGGCACCATCTTCAACGGCATCTTCAGGATCATCCTGGCAGCGGGCCAGTGTATATATACCTATACCTGCCATCCGGCAGCGTCCTAACTACACATGAACGTTTTTAGACTTGCAAAGGTTCCCACGCAGTCCTGCAGCTCGCGCTCGCCCTCACGCCTGCCGCCGCGAGGTGGTGATTTCTGCAGTAGATTCTTCAGATCGACAATCCTGTTGTCATATGCTCCCTCACTACTGCGCCACAACGCACGCAGCGCACCTATGCAGCGCTTTGCCCTGACTGCCTCTTTGGCAGCCAAAGTCAGCCTATCGTTCTCCTGGTCTGGCATAAAGAGCTTGTTCTGAAGCAAACGGTCGAGCATCAGGAAAGCGTCAGTGATGTAGTAAGCGCTTGGCACCTGTCAGCAAAAGAGGCGCGGGCCAAAATCTAAAACTCTCAAACATGGAATTTGGAATTATACAAAACATCAAAACCAACATCTTCGCAACTCCAAACATTTCCAAACCATGTAAGGCCTTCGTGGGAGAGTCAGCCACTAGCGGTCGAAGCCACACATAGTTTGCTGCGAGCTCTTGTGAAGTTGGACGTGCCACAGGGTTGGACAAGATAATCAAAGTGCTTCCCTTCCAACCTTCAGACTGCACCAAATGCAGCACCGATATTGGCAAGAAGTCCCGCATGCTACGAGCCAGGCTTACCTAGGAGTTCGAACGAGGTTGAAGGAGGAAGCCAACACTGCATGAAGCCCTCGCGATTTTCATACCCACTCATATCTTTGTTTAGGCACGGCGCACGCCGAACAAACAACCTAACCAACTCTTTGTGGAAAACATAGACATTGTTTGAGCCGTTTGGCAACGTCAGCTTCTTTCCATGAGATCTTGCCTGGACGGGACGAACGCCAGCCGCCAAGGACGGACGGCAAATCCTTTTCCTGTGGAAGCACGACCACAGCCATGGGCTCAGAGTCTCAACGAAGTGGCCACAGCTGTTTCTTTCTGAAGCGCAATGGCCACCAAAAAACAGATTGAATCCAACACTTCAAGGACAGTGCGATGGCCACCAAACAACAGATTGAACTCATTAAGAAACGTGCAAAAGTATGTGAACAATCTAATATCTAGGTTCGACAATACGAAAGGAACAGAAAGAGAAATTGGAACTTGCAAGGATGCATCACCTTTTTCGATTGTATGTAAAGTAACCTTCTCAGTTTAAATTAGCTGGAGAAGGATGATGAAGAGCATGTCACAATCACGTGCCAAAGGACTGCATGAACAGACTCCGGCCCGTGGCCACGCCTCTCTAAGGCAGATTTTTTTGTGAGGCAGCCTTGCGTGGAGAGGAGGATCGCGCACGAGTTGGGAGAAATCTCATGCAAGGTCCATGAACGGTAAACCCGGTAAACTCAAACAATATGGCAAGTTCCCTATGTTTCATTGCGTGGAAATATATCCTGGCTCGATGAGTGTTTGACATGAGCGTGTGACTTTTGTTCAAGTCTGGGCCATGTGAGCCATGTTCAAATACTCCCGGTCGTTCAGGCCTCCTCGAAACAGGTTCTTCTCACCGAAGATCAAGAAGGTCGACCTTGACCAACAAGGGTACAATGTAGCTCAAGAGTCCAAAAGATCCATCAATCTTGCTATGTACCGATGCGGTCAAGGAGTTGAACCAAGCAGAATCGTCTCACTGCGGGTGTGCCGGTGTGTGTGTGAGCTTCGACGCAACAAGTTTTACATGTCAAGGTGGTTTAGGCCAAGTTTAGGCGCAACCATCTCTTCGTTCTAACTTGCAACCTCTTCATCCTCCTCAGTGAATCAGAATCTAATCTAACCACACTCCTGTTTGAGTTCGCGGCCGGTTTCACTGCGATCAACCACGCTCCGACATCGCTCCAAAGGGGCGGAGTGCATGGCAAAAGAATGTGAGGGCTTGACTCCCTGTACGACGTTGAAACATTGTGACAAGATGTGACAAGTACACGTATGCATACATACAATTCCAGCTCACTTAGTTTAAGCGTCCAGTCCAACCTAACTGGCAGAAACATGCAAACACCACGCACGGGCGGGCGGGCCGGGGCGAATAAGAGAAAAGTAGTGACATGTTTTTTTTTGAAACATTCTTCTGGGAGACTGGTTGCACAAACTATGATATACATCTTGAATGCAACACGATCCTGCTGTAACCAACTTGTTTGCGAGACCCCTTCTCTTTGGTGAAAGCGGCGGAGGCCGGCAAAGCACATCTGAAGAACCGAGTTTCCAAACACAAGCTTCCAAGAAACATAGTTTCCAAAAGCAAAAACTCTGATCGAGAAACTCGATTCGGAAGTCCGTCGAAAAAAACATGTTGTTCACAGCGGGTTAGTGCACCCGTGAGTTGCGCGCATCTCATGCAGCATGCCCATCTAGACGTAACACTGGCACAATAGTGCGCACAATGTATATGGATAGCGTTTACTAGAGTAAATAAGTGTTTGACCTACAGGTTTTCTTTTCATGAACTCTTACCTGAAGTGTTCTTTCCTGGCCGCCTTTTTCAATCGTTGGTAAAAAGCTATTTTCAAGCTATTTTTGAGATCACCCACGATGGCTCAATATGCAAAGTCTAGATTGCTGCAGCAAACAACAACAATGCTACAAACGGCATAGCTACGTTGCAGTTTGTAGCAACGGCGTCCCAGGGACACTGTTGGAGCGTCCAGGCACACGGCGCGCCACAGACTATAGACACAACAATGTCACACCAAGCTCCCAGAAAGCGCTTCCTGCGTTTCGCCCTGCTTTGCAGAAGCCCCTTCTCGCGCTGCACTACCGTTGCCAGTTCAGTGGCCAGAAACTGCTTCCCGCGCTGCATGTTCAATACAAACCCCCACCACGCCACAATTGCACTACAAAGTTGCCACTTCTGAGGCCAGTACATTTGCACAGTTTCCCATTCTGAGGCCACTGCTCCCAGGCTGCTTCCCGGACTACCTTTGCAGCTAACGCTGCCCAGGCTTCCCACTGCAAAGGTGTCGCGCAGCTCCCAGAGGCTGCTGCCTGCGTTGCGTGTGCACTATACAGTTCCCATTTCGACGACAGCTACACACTTTGGCAGTTTTCGATGGCAGTTACACACTTTGGCCGCCTCCATTGTTATTTTCGACGGTTACATACTTTGGCAACCTCCACCGCTTGGAGGACAGCTACGCACTTTGGTAACAACATTCGTATTTCACCTCACGAGGACATTTCAACTCACATTCAAGCCCTCGACGCCCACGTCTCCGAACTTCACGCCAGCTAAATTCAATGTGTTCTGAGCCGGTCGCGAACGGAAACGCGGAAGAGCAACAACTTGCGGTATAGGCCTCGTGAGCAGTGTCTGGCCCGGTAGGCTGCACGGATTTTTCAAGAAAGTCATTTGGGGGTTGGACACCTTGGTTGTCCGAGAAGCCGCCATCAAAGATGTTCAAAGTTCCAATCTTGGAGCGGTCGTAAGACCACCCCTTGAAGGAGCCAACCGTGTTGCGCCCTCTCCGTTTGCGGTGATACAAGTGTATCTGCTGCCGCCGCTCCTTGTATATACCTGAAAAGAGGGGCGCAAAGAAGTCGCCGCGAGGGTCTGAGACAAGGTAGCCCCGCCGAGCCTGACACGGGCGCGCGTCTGCCTTTGCTGTGACATATGCCAGGAAACAGAGCCCCGCCTCCATCTTCCCACGAGGCCGAGGCGCTCCTCGAAGTCATCTGGGCTGTGGCAAAAAGGAAAACCACGCAAGCTAACGCGAGGTACCTGACGGTACCTCGGCCGGCGCCGACTTTTGGCTGCGTGAGCCCGCCCTGCGGTGAACTCATGCACAGCGGGTGTTGCGCATTTGGAATCACGAGCAGCCCAATTTATGCATTCGGATGGAAGCGACTTTCTTCTGGCGTGGGAAGACCGAAAATCGGCAAATCCACGAAGTCAGAAGCTGCGTGACGTGGAAATAGGTTGAGGTGAGTATGGGAACCAGGAAAGTCCCGACGTAGTGTAACATCATGACGTTTGACGATGTTTGCCCTGTTTCATCACATGTAGCCAATTGGAGTTCATTCTGCATATAGCAGTCCTTTTTGTTGGACTGGTTCTGCTTGACTTGTGAAAACATCTACATCCTTGAGCTGCTAGTGTAGCTGGCGTACTGTAGGTTGCCCAAGAGCCCATAGAACCCGAACACAGACAGAAGTTCCAGTCGGAGGTGGTCAAAATTGCAAACACGTAGAACCAAAAACCAACACGCGCAAAAAGTCCGAGAAACGCCGACTGAAAGACGCAGTCTTCGAGGCGGTCAAACTTGCAGCTACACTGACCACGCGGTAGAGGGAAATTCACCAACTGCGCCACAGGATGTGAACGACGAAGGTGATGGCCCGGCGCTCAGATCAACAATGAGATCGTGTTCAATGTCTTCCGTGAAATGTTGAGTGAAGTCTGCCACTTGCTGCGGAAGGTGCGTTTTTCCGCAAACAGTGTGGACACACTTAGGGGTTCTTACGGTAGTAGAAAAGCAGCTGGCGCTTAGATCGCTGAAGCGCGGGCGTGCGCGGCTAAGTCGCTCGCTGCCATTTACTATAATAGATTCACGCCTCTCGACATCGTCAATGTGCATTTCGACTGCGCAGGCTCGCAAAGTCTGGGTGGCCGCGGCGGGTGCTTCTAGCGACTGCGCTCTCGTTGTGGTATTTTGGTACACGGTGGTCGCTTTTTGTGACAGGCGCAAGGGAAACCTCGTGTTTTGGTGCTCCAAAGTCGACTTTTCGTGACAGGCGCAAGGGATCGGAGCTGCTTTAAGTCGAAATGCAGATTTCGTAGCAGGTGCGGCGCTTTGGACATGGTGGTGATCGTCAAGGAGCTCAGATTTCGTGACAGGTGCAGTGAATCATAGCGTCGTAGCTTTTCCACATGTGGCTCCTTTGCAGCTTTCGTGGCAGGCACAGCACTTTGTGAGCCTCAAAGTGCAGATTTCGTGACAGGCGCAGCACTTTGTGAACCTCGACGTGCAGATTTCGTGACAGGCGCAGCACTTTGTGAACCTCGAAGTGCAGATTTCGTGGCAGGCACAGCACTTTGTGAACCTCGAAGTGCAGATTTCGTGGCAGGCACAGCACTTTGTGTACTTCGACGCGCAGATTTCGTGACAGGCACAGCGTTTTGTGAACCTCGAAGCGCAGAGTTCGTGGCAGGCACAGCACTGGGTGAACCTCGAAGTGCAGATTTCGTGGCAGGCACAGCACTTGGTGAACCTCGAAGTGCAGATTTCGTGGCAGGTACAGCACCTTGCGAACCTCAAAGTGCAGACTTCGTGACAGGTACAGCACTTGGTGAACCTCGACGTGCAGATTTCGTGACAGGCACGGCACTTTGTGAACCTCGACGTGGAGAGTTCGTGACACGCGCAGCAATTGGTGAACCTCGAAGCGCAGAGTTCGTGGCATGCAGAGCATTTGGAGAACCTAGACGTGCAAAGTTCGTGGCAGGCACAGCACTTTGTGAACCTCGAAGTGTAGATTTCGGCCAGATGCCCACTCTCACTCTCATTCTCACCCACACTCACTCACACCGACCTTCACTCAGATCACACTCACTCACTCACTCTCCCACTCTCACTCACACTCACACTCACACTCCCTCACACTCTCACTCTCCCACTCTCGCTCACCCTCCCTCCCTCCCTCCCTCCCTCACTCACTCACTCACTCACTCACTCACTCACACCACCACCGCCACCGTCACCACGATCCCCACCTTGATCACCACCATCACCTCTCTGGACCCCAACGCGTCTAGATTTCTTAGACTTTCTGCGTATCGACCTCACACACACTGTTTGGGGTCTCTTGCCGGGATAATTTCAATTTAGAGATCTGCGCCCAGCGGCCGCAGCCCGGCGGAGGTCTGACGGCATTAATGTTGGCAGCTGCGAATGGCCATGTGGAAGTGGCGCGGCTCTTGTTGAACGCCGGCGCCGACAAGGCACAGGGATGGATGGAGCCTAAGCCTCCAAGAAGAGGAAGGAAGCTGGACAAGTGTTGATGCAAAGACTTCGAGTTCATTTTGCAATAAATTTGAGATCCAAGTGTGTAAGAGTCACATGAACCAACGAAAAGTATGCATTGGGATGGAAGCGAATTGTGGAACAAGACAGCAATACTAAGGATGAGTGAGGTTTGAGCAGGCGATAATCAAGAGCAACGGGAATGGAAAGGGCCTTCAAAAGAAAAGCTGCTTCAACCAGAGGTAGACAAAGTTGTTTGGATGTATTTGTCGGTGTTAAAGACCAGATCATGGAGCGCGCTCTTGCATCGTATTGAACACGAGTGAAGAAGGCTCCCTGGTTAATTGTGTTTTCCAGCTTCCGAACAAAACAAATCACCAATTGCCTGCAACAACCACTTTGTTCAGTTCAAAACCGTTAAGATCAAGATGCGTGAGAACCAAATCAGCGAGAGCAAGCTATGCATGCAACCAGTTTAGATGCGTTCAGAAACGTCAAGACAGCGGCATCTCAAAATCACGAAAACTAGCACCAGCTAGCTGGAGTTGTCCTTGCTTTAGCAAGTGAGGGGCTGGAATCCTCGAGATCGCCGCATCACGTGAAAACTTCATATTTGTAGAGGGGGGCCCCCACCCCCCCCCACCCGCTGGTTCAACTCCTTCCTGGGACGCCTCTGGGACACCTCTTGGACACCTCTTGTGGCATCCACTTTGGTTCAACTCCTCCGTGGAGGTTTTGGGATACGATGCAACAGATTCACAAGCTAAGGTTAGCTGTGTCATTGCTGTTCGTGTGTCTTACATGTTCACAACGTTTTACCTCATGAGCGAGACCTTGTGAACCATCCCTCCAACAGCCCCATGCCTATGAAGAAAGATTTTTTGCCTCACCAGTCCTTTGTCACTGGACGGTGCTGTATGCTTCGCCTCCACTGACACAGATGCATCCCTGCTAGCTTTCGTCCCCCTCGGCCTCAAGTAGCATTGAGCACTGAAGAGGATAGTTTGAAGTATATGTCGTGAACATTCAAGATGTTTGTGATATTGACATGCGAAAAGGAATTTTGTAATAGCGAAAGACAAAGTGTTTTCGGGCAGCCCAAAAACAAATTTGGAAGGGTCTTTGCAGCTTCACATCCTTAAGACACCCGTAGTTGCAAAGACCCCACTCAAGGTGTGGGGCAGCCAAAAAAAATATGGCGGTTTCCTTGGTTGCAGACATTTGGCCATTTTTCCTGGATGTTTTTTGCCTTGAAAGGCACAATCAAGATCCATAAACAAGTTTGGCAACTGAACGAGTTTCGCAACTTAACAGCCACAAGTTCGCATCAGTAAACGTCTTGATTCTTCCAGCGCATCTCTCAGCGCTTTTGGAAGTTCATGTCCATCAAACATGGTTTATGTCCATCAACTGTTTAGACATGTCAGAGAAAGTTGCTGAAGAGCGAAGTTGGAACAAATTCACAGCAAAGTCTCTTCTAATCGAAAAATAAATCCTCAGGACTTTCACACTAAGAGCTAAAAGGTCATGTTTGGAGAGCACATCACCAACCTCAAGACACAAAGAAAATCTCCAACCAACTTCGCTGCAGGATTTGCAAGACAAGAAGGGCCCCGCGCTTAGATCAAACCCGTTTTTGTGTCATTGGTTGGCACTGAATTCCACAAGCCTGGCCGAGGTTCGACTGCTCTAATATTGGCAGCCCAGCAAGGTCACGCTGAAGCCGCGCGGCTCTTGTTGCAAGCCGGAGCTGACAAGGCGCAGGGATGGCTCTTGGGCAATTGCCAGTACGGATGCCGAACCAAGAGACATGCTGTCTGGTGCTGTTTGGCATTGAATTCAATGTTGCCTTTGTCCTTTGTTTACTTGCAGCAGAAACTGTTCCCGAATGTAGACCTTGGCAGAGCGGTGTCCCACTGACAGGACCTGCGCACCAAGCGTACCTTGGCCTTCAGAGACGATGAGAAGCCACTGCATTTTGCTGTCTTTTTTTGTTCATTCGATGTGAGGCTCTTGCTGTTTCAGAGGTCACCAGCTCAGATTTTGAGACCCCACAAGATCGAAACAATGACTTCATGATGCCTTGGCCATACTGCTTCTCACTGTTTCAACAGGTCTCGACCAAGCCTAGAGCGGTTCAACTTGATGCGCAAAGGCCGAACAGCGTGGGAAATTGCCAAACGCCACGGGCACCAAGACGTCCTTGAGGTCCTACGCAGTTCCCAGGCTCCGGATGGGTGACGTCATTTCACGGATTGTGTTACCAGAATGGTCCAATGGTACCACCACATGTTTCTGGTGCAAAAGAAAGGCAACGTGGCAACGCCATGGACCGACAAAGGCCACACCTCCGCTGGAAGTCTTTGTTGTTGGTGTTGATGGTTTGGTGACTTAGTGGTGGATGTTGGCTCCTCCAACATAGGCGCTCCACGAAGTATTGCGTTGGGCTTGCAAACTTTACCTGTTCTACGAAGTTATGAAGCTTGTCAAAGGAAGTTCCGATGAGAAAGTGCCGAGTAATGCAATGTGTCTAAAGTCTCATGCCCATTGAATGCAGATATGAGCAACCGCCAAAACCCACGATGACCAATTTGGTAAAGAACTGTCGTGAATTTCAGCTTTTTGGCAAGAATCTGCAAAAGCAATAGGCCCTGATCGAAGGCGATGGCCTTATTGAATCAGGTCCTCTTCGTTAAGACTTTTCAGCAGACACTCATATGTGTGCCCAGCACTTGCAAAAGGAATGCATAAAAAAAGCAAAAGCGTCCCTTTACTAAAAAGAGCTCCGAGGGTCATAGGTGTTTGCGTCTCCTAGAAACCGTTGCTTTTCTCGATTTTGCCTTGTAGAATAAGTGAACTTCTCTAGAGGTTCTCCATCCTCCAGAAAAAGACTTTGCAGCATTCTCTAGAAGTCTCTTCCTCACGCAAACCTGCAATTCAAAGGTTTTGGTTACCCTGCTTTCATTCCCAGATGGAAGTGCGAGCTCAAAGCAAATTCCGTACCACTTGTGTATATCATATATGTGCATATCTTGAAAATTAGTTGCATTCTCAGGTTCATCCGCCGGATTTTTGCAGAAACACCTCAGCTCCCCAAAACAATCACGAAAACAAATTGGTGTGAAGCTGTTCAGTGCAAGGAATCGCCAACCCTGCACGACTTGCAAAGCAAAGACGGCCCGTGGCTCAGATCAGGTTTCAGTTCAGTTCTGTGTTGCACCAAGCAATTCGCACTGAAAATGTGCCAGAAGCTGACTGAAAGAAATTGTTTCTGCGTTCGCGAACCTTGAAAGAGCCGCCGTGCCACACATGGTGCACGTGCGGTTTTCCACAAACGTGATGGGCGCACGTGACATGATGGCAAAACAACTCACCATCCCGCCAGCTAAGGCACAGCGCAACAGACTGCAGCGGAACCGGACGAGAAGATTACCCGCCTTTAGCATACTAAGGCTTGATGAATACAGTGTGATGTTCATTAAGAGGAATCATGTCTTGATAGGAGTGCGCGTGCAAGAACTTGGGCAAAAGCGTGGTACATGAACTGTTTTCACATGTGTTCACACTTGTTTATGTCAGTCACATCACAACAGCTTTCTGCACGTGATTCTCGGTTCAGACATGATTCGCTCTTGTAGCAAATTGTTTGATGTGAATCGCTTGTAATTTGTGCTCCTGGCATGGAAGGCTTAATTGTTCATCATTGAGGCTGCCTTGCTCGGCAGGCGGCCCAAGCTTGTGGCATTTGGGCAAAGTTGCAATGACTGTTCAACAGTTTGCGGTGCCATTCTTCTTCAAACAAATCACTCTCACTCACGGCACTCAGCTTTCGTCAACGCCTGGAATCTGAGGAGGCCTGAGATTCATGTCCAGAGGGTATGATCCGACCTCACAACGTTTATTTGCAGTTTTCGATGTATTGGCAACCGCCATCCCTGAGAGCTGGAAGCAGCCGAAAAGGGGTATGGGGCACTTCTCGCTCAAAGAGCGAGCAAGACAGAATGCAAAGCTCTCATCAAAAGAAGGGGCTTTGCAGTTTGGTCAAAGATAGAGGTTGATGAGGAAAGAACAGTGGAGTGATGTTCAGTTTTTGTGTTTCAATGTGCTTGGAGGGCCCTTTGAAGGGTACATCAGATGATTGCAAGCAAAAGTCCAAGAACGGCATATTCCGTTGCGCTCAAGACTTTGAAGGCAGGAGGAGGGTTCGTTGCTTTAAAAGGTTTTGTAGATCAGGGTGGGTCATAATTTGCCAGTTTCCCTTCATGTCATGTGATCAATCTTTTGATTTGCTGCGGCATTGATGGATTTGCTGCGAAATGCTCTGCAACAAGGAGCTTGGACTGAGAATTTGTCAGGGTTGATAAGAACTGACAGACTCAAGCTGATCACGGCTGCTGATGTTGTGCTTCTACTGGCAAGTCCAAAACATACACTACATCCAGTCTCTTATCAAAAAAAGGTTCGAAGGGTGGACGTTAGTTTGCTTTGCTTGACACTCTTGGGCTTCCATGTGTTTTCCTGGCTTTGTTTTCTTCAGGACTTCGTGATTCTGGAGTTTACCACAAGCTTGTGAAGCAGCTACTGGAGGAAGGAGAACTGCACCAGTCTCCCAAAAACAGGCAGACCTGCACCGTGCCAACATGTTTGTTCAAAGTTGGCGGCAAGAACACCTTGCCAAGAAGGGAGATGTCCACACGAGCCAACACTCCAGGAGATGATCTCTGGGAGGCCCGGTGAACGCTTTGGGAAGCTTTGTTCTAAGTGAATCTGGTCACGGTAAGTTAGAGATAGTTAGAGTCAAAAGACAGGACAGAAGGCTAAAGGCTACTTTGCACGTCTAGCGCAAGTGAAGAGAGTGTTGTTGTATCGGTTTTTCTGCATCATGGTTCATTCTTCATCATTTTCCTACCATCCATGGCACGTCATGGCATGCCACACGTCCCCGCCCGGCGGTGGAGGTTCAGTGCGAGCTGCTGCAGCTCTTCCATGACGAGCTGTTGAGAGATTTTCCACCGCTCCCCACCGTCAGGACCTCGGGTTCTAAGGCTCAGCGATTTGTTCTCTGAACGAGATCAATCGTTAAAAGTCTCTCAGAACCTTTGACTTTGGCTTTTGTGGTGCTTTGACTTTGACCTGCTTACCATTGCCTGGCGAGTTCGAGGCCCGTCGCAGCCTGGCGAAGGCTGTAATCAAGGAGTTGGAAGAACTGGAAGAGGAGCGAGATGTTGGAGCCGTGTGACGTCCTGCATGCAACGGAAACATGTTTTTGTGTTCTGTCTTTCAACGTGGGAAATGACCGATTGCATTGGCGTTCTTTGTCCCCATTCGCCCCCAAAAAGTCGCCTGTCGCCCCAAGTCACCAACGCACCTGCAAAGCGACATGTTTCTGCATCCTCCAACAAAGTACTGAACTCTCATCCAAAAAAACAATTTCAGGGCGCTCTTTCTTCCACCAAGCTCCAACCCAGGACCCACTCCATTTTCTCACGAGAAAAAACCACCACTCCACGCTGCCCCACCTGACTCCAGGTCCATGACGAGCTCTTCGAAGTCTGCGCCTCGCACGCCGCGACGGCGTCGTCCCACCGATCTGCGCCCGGCGGCTTCGTGGGGCACCGGATCTTCCGGCTCTCGCAGGCCGCGGAGGCCGCGGCCGCAGAGGGCGGTCCGCGAGAGAGAGGGGATGAGGAGCGACCGGCGCAGCTGAGAGGCCATTTTGGAAAGCTGGTACAGCGCACAGCTGGTGCTATAATCTGCTGGTTGTGGGGAAAGAAATTGGTTTTAGATCGGAGATGTCGGGAGTCATGAAGCGTCACCAATCGCGGTCGTGTTGGTTCTTTTTCAAAGGGAGCTCGTGAGGGCAGTCTTGAGTGTCACCAATCATGATCGAATGAGGCACGCACAATCATTATAGGGTCCCCTACCTTTGATTTATCCTTCAATGAAACACCATCAGGCGAATTGAACCTCCAACAGATGCCATCCCAACCCGAACCTTACGAGGCGGGCCACGTGGTCTTACGGGTGGCGGAGCAGATCGGTGGCGGCCTGGAGACCGGCGGCCTGCTGTGGACAGGCGGCCGGCCTGCGCGATCGGTGCAACCGGTGGTGGTCGCCTGATCGAGCCATGGGCGCAGCAATGATGTCGGTTATAATGCATGGTTTTGCGGTTTTCATCGGCGTGGCCGAAAGTCAATTCTAGGCATGCAACACTCAACTCGAAGCGAAGGAAAGGGATGCGGTGGGGCAATGATGTTTGTAAACTGAAAGAAAAGAATGTCTCTAAAGCCACTTGGGGAAGCTTTCCAGCCTCAACATAAAGAAATCAATGAAGCCATGACTATAGGATCCTCCAAAAAAGCCATGAATCGTTGGACGCTTGCACGGCGACGCATCCGGTGAGGCGCCTGCACTGCTCTGGGCTTGGCGCTGGGCGGCGCCCTGCCGCTCCGGGGGCGCATCTTGGAGCTGGGCGCCTCGTCAGTTGAGCGAGTGGCGAACTTGGCAGATTGAGGGAAGGAAGGATGAAAAGATTCGGCCAAATGATGAAGCAGTTCAATGATCCGTTTATAATTAGGTACATTTTGGTACTCCCCTCATGTCTATATATAGCTCCCCCTATATAGCCCCCTCAGTATTGTTGTAGCCAAGTACGTAGCCGTTAAACACTGTAGCCAAGCCTCTCCGGGAGGGGAGCCCAGCCGTCCGCTCGCTGCTCCGAGGCGCCGGCACCGGGTTTCTGGGCCTTGCCCTGGCGGTGCACGATCCGACGCTGCACGTGACGCTGAGCGACCACCAGCCGCAGGCGGAGGGGAAGAGTCGAGTGAGACAGATCCATCTGAAAACAGAAGAAGGGTTGCTTTTAGATGTGGTAGGGTGATGAATCGTGATGAACCTTGTTCCACATGTTCATGGGTGGAAAATGGTTGGGAACTGTTGAAGTTTGAGTTTCCCAATGCTCAATCCATATAGGTCAGGGCTGACATGTCTCTTCTTTTGAACACCAACTTGGACTGGGCAGGTGCTGGAGAACTTGCGCTACAACGTGGAAGCCACCAAGAAGTGCAATCCGTCCAAGGACCGGCGTGGAGCATTTTGGAGCGGCTGCATGTGCAATCCACTCTGACACCTGACAATTCCGCTTCAATCAAGAAACTCTGGTAGCTTTGGCTGTAGATAGACTCAGATAGACGCTAGACTATCTAGTCAGCACCCTCAACAAGGGGATTAGAATACCTGTGTACTGTATATACCTGTCCACTAAGATTCCACTCAATTCCCCTCAACCAATCCTGTAACATCAATCCATTTCTGCACGGACATGCCGCCGGCCCAAGTGATGGATCCAATCACCCGACAGGAACTCCACCTGGAGGTCGAAGCATTGGATTGGTGCCACATGGATCACCGGGAGGTGGATGCTCCTTGGATCGGTGCAGACCGAGTGGAAGTTTCGGGAATGGTTGGAAATGGAAAGGGACCAGATAGGGAAAGGAGATGTTTTTGTTGGGAAGTGTTGAGGGCCCTGGAATTTCCCAGGAAAGGTTGGGCAAAATATGGATGGAACCAGCAAACCACCCCCAAAACGCAAAGGCAGATGAGGTTGGCGAACACCGCGCAAGTTGGCCAAAGCGCCTCCGTGAATGCCGGGACCAAACCAAAGCACCTTGTTACTACTAGCGTGGCACTTGTTACTAATAGCTTCTTGTTACT